ACTGACAAGGAAATCGTACATATTGATGAGTGATGATAGCTACTTCTGTTTTGTTGTGTTTTGCTTCGACAACATTAATGAACATGCTCGAACAGAAGTAATTTGACATTTTCTGTAACAGCTCAAAGATGTTATCAGTTCAAAGTCATGTTTAGGAAACTAGCAAAATCCATGAAGTGTCCAGTTGTGTTGTAAAAGAGGACCCAGGGGTCTCTGAGACCCCAACCAGCGCATTAGAGTCAGTTAGAGTTGAAAGAAATATAAAGCTGAGTTGAGACAACATGGCTCTGACACAGTCTTGACTAAAATTGTATATTTCAAGTCAAATGTAATGTTTATTGCAATGCTGCTAAAGTGGATTGCATTATATTATATAGTAGGTGTATGTTACCTTGTCTAGTTAAAATATCCAGTTTGACTAAAACATATTCACTGTACATTCCTTCAGTTCATTCAAGCACATTTCATTGTGTGACATCTTCTCATTTTCTCTACCATAATCTCCTACTGATAATGTGTAGTTTCACTTCACTAACAGTCTCCCGGGCATTTCTTTTCAATACACTGCAAACAAAGTCAGAGTACCGATCATAGATACACACTCTGCTTCTTCTGCCACATAGTGCCACATGAGTAACACAGAAAATGATTTAAACAAAATGTATTGTAAATGTAATGCAGTCTGTTCTGTTACTAGCTGTGGATGCTGCATGGTGGCCCCCTGGTTTCTTCTTCTTGCTGCTTTCTCAAAATGGTTTTGGGGACAAGTGAAAATGACAACAGTGGGGATGGTGTTAATCTATATGTACTTGTATTTATCTATTAATATTGACTGCTGTCTGTAAGCTAAATTATTCCTCTGGGAAACTAAAGCTTCATTGTACCCTAAGCTGCAACTGCTGAGTATTTCACATCCAGGATGCTTTGTTTTTAAACTCCTTTTCAATCTAAGATTTTGATGCTTCCATTTCTATACTAAAGCACCCTTTTCTGAGATGAATAATTTTAGAAGTGGATCATTTACACCTGTGAAACAGTCAGCGAGGTTCAATGTAGTAGGTAAGTGACTGGTGACACAGAGAAGCTTAGTCACTGTGGCTGCTCTGATTCAGCTCAGCACATGCACAGACTCGTCCGCAGGTAATCACGGCATGGGTTCTGCTCTGCTCAAGGCCCATGAAAGCTGCAAACCTGCATTCCCACACCTGCCTGAGGCGCACACCGTTCGCTCCTGTACTCTGACGGAGAGACAGAGAGAAACCCAGAGACAGAGGAATCCGCTGCAAGAGGGGGAGACACAAAGGAGGTGGGAGAGAGAGATGAAAAGAGAGAAAGACCAAAAGAAAAATGGCTTGAATAGAGGAAGAGAGAAAGAGAGAGAGGGAGTGAGTGAGGCCTTCATACCAGAGGGGCAGACAGCACAAATCTCCACTTCACACACATTCTCGTTGAAGCTTTATGATCTCAACGGGGAGAAAACAGGCGCAGATGATCTGATGTTCTTTGCTGGAGGGGTGAAGCACATGCCACTGCCTGCACCTGTATGCTAACTGACTGCACATAACAGGCTTTATAATGAGATACAACTGTGCTAGTCTGTGATTCCTGGAATACTCAATACAGCAATTTGTAAAAACGCAGTGCTGCCTTTAATCACTATGTTGTGCTCACACAGTTTCACAATTGGAAAGTTGCTTGTGAAACGTTGCTTGTAGTAACTCCCCTATGTTTACACTCCAAACAGCCTTTGGGGCATGAAGCAGGCTTCTTCTGTCCTATACAATGACTTTATCGTTGGTGACATTCATGTGTTCTTGTGTCTGTGTTCTCGTTTCATCGTCCGTGACCGATGGCATCCAAAGGTTTTGCTCTTATAAAATCAAAGGAAGTAGCATGCTTTAAAAAGAATTGAAGATACACACAGCATGGGTAGAAAATTGCTTATTTGGAGCTATTTCCTTCTCCCTCTGCATGGGCCCCAAGAGGAGGAAAGGGGAGAGCGAGTGGTCAACAGAGGTCTCACTTTCTAGGAGCAGCTGAATACCAGAGGAGCTGACAGGTATGTACATATTGGAATGTGCTTCTCAGCCACACCTGGTGGGAACACACCCGCCAAGCCTGGCCTCTCTCATCCCACTGGCTGATCTCCCTGTGATTGACAGCTGGAGGAACTATTTGGCTCCAGTCCACAGGAGCCAGGGGGCAGGTATGGTGAGTTCAGAATATGAACCAATGGCAGCTGTGAAATCCCTCCGAGCCAGGCGGGGCTGCAGTGAAATAAAACTCATCAATGGGGTGTGTCTCAAAAGTCTGTCAGCAGTCAAACAGTGAAGGGCTACTGCTGCAGGAACCCACTTTGACTAGTTAAAGCTTAACTAGTTCCTCGCTGTGTAAGGATCTGAGCAGTTTTCAGCCTGCAGAGATGGTAGAAAAAGACAGAGAGGGACCTTTTTTTTTCTATGACAGATTCACCTCTGCTGTGACTGAATGATGGAAATGAAACAACAGATCTCATCCGCTCCGAACTCGGGAACTCCGCTCTCAGGTCCAGGACTTTGAAGAAAAGGATGGTAGCTTCATGCAGCTCTTGGTTGGGGACCTTTTAACATTCCCAGCATTCATTTTTGTCCCTAAACAGGTCCCGAAACAGGTCCTTCATCACAGTAGGACAGAGATTAAAAAGATGCTGTGGTACTGTGGTCGCTCACATCTCCTTATCACTTTTCCAGCCCAGCTATAGATTCTGTATCCGTTGGACGGAGAACTGATAAGGGCATGTGCATGACATTACCTACAGACACTGGAGAGACATCTGAGTCAGACAGCCCTTGGGGTAATTCAGTCACTCAGTTCATAATTTGTGACCATGTTGAAGGCTGTTATTCATTTCTGTACTATATGCTTTGTTTTTTTTTTAAAGGTGGCATTAACTGTTATTCCTTGCTTTTTAAACATGTAAGAGTTGTTAGGAAAATAAGAGTTTTTTGTCAAAAGTTTAAAATGTGAACTTGTTTCAGTAGCGAATAGAAACTTCATTGTTCATGCAAATTCATCTGCTCTAACATTTAAGTTGCATTGTAATCTAGCTCATGATTTGTCATTAAATAATGATTTTTTTAGATGATTTAATGTTGGATAAATTAAGTTGAACTTAAAATCCAAGGACTGACAAATGGAAATGTTGGTCTTTGTATTTCTGTCAGGCAAAATGATTGACAGTGGAATATTAATTGAAACACAAATTCCCTTCAGGCAGTTTAGAGCACACCTGTTTTAAAGTCATATTTCCCAGACATATGACAGAAAGCAACAGCGCAGTTTTCTTTACCAGGTGTGACTTCAGGCAAGATGATGCCTTTCACCAAAATGGGCAAAACCTGGTTCGACAATTTAGAATAGCAGCGGGATCAAAGTGAACTCGGACATCCTGACATGACAGCATGACTAACATAGTCCATTATCTATATACCGAGGATGATGCAACTGGCTAACTGGAATACAAAAATTAGGTGAGTAGTGTCAATATAATGCACGCCAACACGCTGTCATGATTTCACACCCACAAGCACGCAGCCTTGGCATTTCTACACTTTAATTAAGGCTCAGAGATTGGATAGTTTCAAAGGGAAGGAAATATATATCATACTTAACATACTATACATGAATACTCATGTTGATACAAAACGATAGATCAACATCGAACTGAAAGATAGTGACAGCTGAGAGCTGAAAACAAACGTATGCAAATTAAATGATATGAAAGTCCTGATATGAAATATATAGTGACGTCAAAGCAAAGCTGCTGATTCATCATGAAAAAGCTCCTGTCATTATTTAAACAAGTGGTAGGTATAACAGCTGAGGGACGCTTTGTTCTTTCAAAAGCCTGAGCTAATTCAGCTAATTCCCATTTACATTCTCATCTGGCTTCATTTAAAAGAGCTCTGGGAAAACTCTTTTAAATTACACAGCTTCCAATAAGGAGCTCTGGCAGATTGCCACCCTCTGTTTTACCCCTATCTTCAGATGCATAAACTGCTCTCAAATACAAGATGGGGTTTCATTCAACCTTTTCAGCACATCATCATCTTATAATGCGCTGATAGCCTGGTCACAAAAGCTTGTTTCTGCAAGTGATGAAGTGACTCTAAACAACGATTGATATTTTTCCTCATGTGTAGCTGTTCATCTTACACAAACACACCGTGTGTCTAATATAATAATAGTAATAATAATAATAATAACAACAATAATGACTGGCAGAGGAAAATCACTTTTAATCAGACATTTATTGCCAAAAGAGTTACACTGCTGTTGCCTCCCTTTTGTACACTTTGTCAACACAGGCACATAATTTAATTCTCACCTCAAAAGTAACAAAACACCAGATCTACTGCATCATGATACAACAAACAGCATCCACCATGTATAAAATACACACACACACACACACAATCACACAATCTACTGGGTGTTTCCTAACTGCTCTCTGCCCCTGAGGCGTCCACTCCCTCTCCACACCTGGCGGAGGATCCTCTCTCCTCTCAAGTGTAACAACCTTCTCACCGCTGCCAGCACCTACGGTCACTTCCCAGCTTTTACATAACACTTCAGGACTACTTCACCAAAGTCTACTTCTTCACCCTGGAGGAAACAAATTGGCTCTCATCCTCCTTCCCTTGTAGTTGAAACTGTAGAATTGCTTTATATGTTTTACAAATGTGTTTCTGCACTGAGGTTGACACAGAAACTGTACAATCATCTTACTGTATGTTGGTAATTGTTGTTAGACGCCATGAATAAATGCAGAAGTTTGAAGCCTTATGCGTCTCTTTGAATTTGCAGCAACAATCATATGATGAAAAAAATGAGAACCTGTTTGGCCCACAAGCATTTTAGCTATTCCAAATCAAAACATGTTAGAAGTTAAATGCATAACAGAAATTGCTCACTGAAATGAAAACAATATAATAAGATAATATGATAAAATGATGAATAAGCAAGTATAACCTTGTTTTAATAAGGATATATGAGTACACCGTAGATACACAATAAAGCACAAATTATTAGGTATGCAGAATATACATTCTATAATATAAAGATAAATCAGTGCACCTACTTTTAACATTCAATCAACTGACTGTGATCAATTAGTGCAAATTGTTTTACTCATCATCAAATCTTTCAGCTATAAAAGACTTGGAAAAGTAAAAAAAAAAATTTGATTAATGCAATGCCCTTATGCATAGTAGATAATAAAATTAATTTCTGTCATTTTTCCACCCATGTAAACAGGGCCACTGACTCCAGCAGGAGGAATGTCAGGTGAAAGCAGGGCGGGCCGATGCGTTTAAGCCAGACCAACCATGGAGTTACTGAGGTCCCATAGCTTCCTGGCTGCGGCGTCATCCAGGGCCTGCGGCGCCGCCGTTTTGGGGGCACAGTCACTGTACGGTAGAAGAAATAAAAGACGAGGACAAGATCAATAAAAGTGTGATACAGTGGGGTCATACTCTAATCTGTTGTAGTAATAAAGCTTGAGTAATAAACCATGACTTAGCCATAAAACATTTTTTCATTGTACAATGGAGACAAAAGCATGGAAATGACATTCGATAAATTCATTTTTTTTAATCTCAGGCTTATTTATTGTTATTTGTTTAATAACTCGTTATAGTGAGAGAATGGTGCAGCAATGCAAAATTGTAGTGAAATTGAATTAATCAATTTTGAGACAACTAAGCATTTCCTTTTACTTTACAGCAAGTAAAGGGAGTGAAGTAGCTGTCATCCAAACGTAGCAATATTTTTATATGGGAATTCCAATTAATGAAATTTATCTTTACAGTCAAGTGAGTTTCATTGCAGATGTACTTGCCTGTAGTAGAGGCCGCTGACGTTTGCCAGGCTCTCGTCCACGGCGCAGTAGATGGTGGTCTGGGCTCCTTCCCAGGGACTTTTGATCAGCATCAAAAATGGCTTGGCTATGACCCTCTTCCACAGGGATAAAGTAGGGAACAAATGGCGGCCTAACTCTGTGCGGATGACCCCAGGGTGAAGGCTGTACACTGTCACACCGGTGTCTAATGAGAGGGATCCATCACATCAAGTGTGAGCTACAATACATGACACTTTAAAGTCCGAAAATGTGGGGTGTTTCCTTCCTTTACCCTTGGAGTACATTTGGTTAATAATAACAGACATTATCTATCCTTTTTTTTTTTTTTTTTTAAACAATGCCGTATTGTTAAAAGTGTGCATTATACACTACCTTTCAGTCTTGCAGCCAGCTCTCTGCAGAAGAGCACATTGGCCAGCTTGCTTTGGCGGTAGCTCTTCTCACGTTTGTAATCTTTATCCAGGTTGATGTCATCAAAGTGAATTTGACCTGCAAGAAACAATCCAGAGTAGGAATTACAATTTGAAATCCAGAAACAACCATGTGAGCTTTATCTGTCATAAAAATCAACCAAAAGGAAAGTAGCAAGTGAAACATTACAGATACTATTTTAACTGTGATGATATCTGAGACTAAAAAGCCACTGTTTGACTTGACTGAATTTCTAATGTGTTGACTGACGTTGCTGTGATGCACTAAAATGACAGAACGTTGCCTTTACCTTTCTCATGTGCCAGACTGGAGACGATGACGATGCGACTTGGAGCCGACTTCTTCAGCAGGTCGAGGAGACAGTTGGTGAGGAGAAAATGTCCCAGGTGGTTGACACCAAACTGCATTTCAAAGCCATCCTCAGTCTTCCACTTAGGACACATCATGATACCTAAAAGAAAAAACACATAAAACACTTACATGGAACAAAACAAACTAATAAATAATCTCTAACTTCAGCATCAGTTCAAAACTGATTGATTTTTGGCTCATAAATGTTGGGAGAAGAATAATAAAGCTAATACTTACAGCCAGTTCAATGTCAATCAAATAAGTTCACTGACATTTTAACTGTGTCCAAAACACATTTGTTTCCATTGAGATTATCTCATCTACACCATATGGAGCATGTGAGAGGCCATTTTATTCAATTGAATTTTGATTCTACTCACATACACTGCCCTCACACACAGATTCTGTTTGCACCTGGGTCTCTGTATGTTGTTTATAATTACGTTGATGTTGTTCCTGCAGGGACAAATGAAAAATACCTGCATTGTTGATGAGGATATCCAAGCGTTGCTCGTTTTCCTGGATGTCTTTGGCTAGGTCTCTGACTGACTGCAGCGAGGAGAGGTCCAGTTTCTTCACCACCACGTTGCCGTTCCCACTCTTCTGTCGGATTTCATCAGCTGCAATGCGGGCTCTGGTCATGTCCCTGCAGGCTAGGATCACTCTGGCGCCTTGACAGAAATAAAAACAGAATCAATGTATTTAGGATTTAAACAGTAATAGTGGAAGTAGTGCTGAAGCAGTCAATTAGGGTAAATTCAATTCCACTCTATAGTTAATAACACAGTGTTGCACAAAAACAACAACAAACAGCACTTTTAGGAGGTAAAAAAACAGTTATGAGGGTCTCACCTCGCTGGGCCATATCCAGGGCCGTCTCTTTCCCAATGCCAGTGTTGGCTCCTGTGATCAGGACTGTTTTCCCATCCAGCCTGACCTTGCTCCGGCACACTCCCCCGGCCATCCACCTACGCAAGGCCAGCAAGCCTGCCCCTGAGAGAAACCAAATGACACTTTAAGCATCATTACTTTAAGTACATCTTGTTGCTTCTACGTCTGTACTTTTACAACTACATATGAATGCAGATCATTTGTGATTATGTGCTATTGCTGCTTTAAATCATCTAAATACTTCTTCCACCACTGCAAAATAATCACACAAATAGACTTTTGAATTTAGTCGATGTATGTGTTTTGTTTTATTTTGACTTGCTTCCCTTTATTTTTGACCAACCTTAAAATATTGTGCATTTATTTTGAAAAGTAAAGTGCAGGACTTGTGCTATGGTGCAACCATTGATTTAGATCGTGGTGTAGCTGCATGGCAGTAACATGTCGCTTCGTGGCATTAACGGGTTTAGCTGGTTTGTGTGAATACTGTTATCAAAATATAGGTATTATTTTATTATCATTAGCACTATATGTACTGTTATATGACTTGTTGTGATTATCTTTCTTCATTTGCCCTTTCCCTCTACTGATTTCTTCTTGCTTTTGTGTCATAACTAGAACTGTTTACTTAACTATGCTGAACATAACGAAGAACAACAATGAACGCCTTTGGAAAAAATGTCATACTTGTCTGACACAGTTTCTGTCTGGGTGATGGATTGTGATCTACTAATTCTATATTCTCAATAATAAGAGTTAACCTCTCTTGCATTGACATCGAAGAAAATGTGTAAACGTACAAAACACCTCACACACTATTCTGATGATTACAGGATCGACTTACCTGCAACAAAGGCAACCGTGAGACCGGTCGCATGGCTCTCTACAAAGTCCTTGATCACCTCTGCGTAGTTTTGCATGTTTCAGGCTGTTAATTATTAACCAACTACAATTAGCCAACTTCAATTAACACACGCCTGACTGTGCAAACTTTAAGTTTAAAAGAGATCCGTTTACACTCAAAATATGTAATTCACTGGATAACACGCCATATAATGCCAAAATCTGTGCCAAAGACCTATTTTTCCTTGGTCTATTTTGTGATGACAACTCGCTGTGCGGAAGTGGGGGCGTGGTTTGCAGTGGGATTTTCATAATAAGACTCCTGTTTAATGTTTATCCTTTGTTGTCACAGCAACTGATGTATGCAACAACTGCTCTGGTGATGTTTTTTCCCTTCTTTTTACAATGAAAATTTAATTTGGCGTTGTGAGTCAATGTCTGACTCTCTGACGCAGATTTGATAATGTATTAGAAAGGCCCCAGGAGAGCAAAGCAGTCTATATGAATAGTTTACACACGCCCTACAAAACACACCCATCAATGCAGCTCGCTGACTCATCTATGTTAATTTAACGTAGAGCAATTCAATATCTCTCTGCTGTCACGATGCCTTCGTGCCAAATCGGTAGAAATAATACAAATACACCTCCAAAATAAAACCCTACGTATTTGTTCATATAATGATGATATTATTTATTCATTCATTCATTCGTATTCTCATGTGCTACTTCATACTTCTACTCAACTGTTTTCTTTAATTATATCGTATTTTTTATTCCACTACATTTTTCTACTATTTTTACTATATAACTTAATACAATATGCAAAGTATCCGTTTTCAAAATATGATGTGATTTTACAGATTGAACTAATCAACAACGTGTGAAGCAGCTAAAATTAACCCTGCTTGAACCAGCCACGACATTAAAATGCTATTTTAATATCGGTCTATCAATGACAAATGTCGAAATATATAATAATATAAGAGGGGCCATACTGCTTAGTACATACTGCTGTTTTAAGTACATTTTGTTGCTGATACTTCGGCACTTTTACTTGAATATCTGAATGCAGGACATTTGTGATTATGTGGTATTGCTACTGTAAATTATCTGGATACTTTTTCTACCACTGCAAAATACTTAAAATATAAATGGACATTTGGATTTATCCTATTTATTTTTTGTTTTATTTTAACTGCCTTTATTTTATTTCTGAGAAACCTTCAAATATTGTGCACTTACTTTGAAAGGTAAACTGCAGGACTGTTGATACTACGATGCTATCATTGGTTTAGATCGGGTTGTCGATGTATTGCAGTAACATGTCGCTTCGTGGTTTTAACTAGTTTGAATGTTTTGTCTTACGCTAAGATGTTAAACTGGATTTTGTCTGACAATTTTCTACGTTTGATAACAGCGGACTAATATTTTACAAAAAAGTAAACAAACCTGCACCGGAAGTGTTTTGAGCTCGTGCCACGTCAGAGCTACACAAGCGTTATCATCAGTGGTACAGTGAAGAGGAGTCTTCTGCTTTCTGCACTTTCTCTTTGCCTTCACCATGCTGTACCTGGGACTGAGCTCTTTGCTGCTTTATGTGTCTGTGGTGTTTGGGACTGAGCTCACATTTGAGCTCCCTGACAACGATAAGCAATGTTTCTACGAGGACCTAGAGAAAGATGTGAAGTTCGACATAGACTTCCAAGTAAGTTACTCTGAAAGCTGCTCCACTTCACCGTGTCTAGAAGATGCGACAAAAAGGTTTTTCTTCGGCTATTAATTTGTCATTTCAGTGGTTTATGTTTCTTGTTCATAGAAAGGAAGAATGTGCATAGTTTTAGTTCTTGACAAGCTTTAAAGATGTATCTGTCCCCATTTAACTACCCAGGTTACATTAGTTCCTTTTCCTGGAGTTTAATTCTACAATTAAATTGAAAAAAACATGTTTTGGTAAATGTGTTCTTACCCAGTGTTACTTAACTGGTTTGTTGCACAGCCAGTTTCAGCCAGTGCAACAGTGCACAGTCCAATATGTTTGTACAAAACATATGTCACGTCTATCTTGGCATGCATATGTCCTGTCATCCACATGCATTTTTGATGTGCGCTTTGTGTTTTCTCTTTTAGGTCATTGCAGGAGGCAACTATGATGTGGACTGCTTTGTCACCGATCCTCAGAACAATGTCTTGTACAATGAGAAGAAGAAGCAGTATGACAGCTTCTCTCACACCACAACTATGAAGGGAGTCTACCAGGTGTGCTTTAGCAATGAATTCTCCTCATTTACCCATAAAACAGTCTATCTGGAGTTCCGCCATGGAGATGAGGACCCTCTCATGCCAAGCATGACAAGAAGCACAGCACTGACTCAGGTAAGCCCGAGGAACCTAGTTGATAATTACGCTTAAGAAACAAGGTGTCTGCTGCAGTGGAAACCCTAAAAGGAAAAAGATCAAATGTGCTCATTAATTGTTAAGAAAAATGCAAATGTTTGCCTTTATGTTACGGATTTGTTGTCATCCTGTTGCCAGCATTCTGTTTTGTCTCATTTCTCGATTTTTAAACACTAGCAAATAAAAGATGGTGGGCAGGCAAACAAAACATACAAAAGACAACCACAGTAAGCCTACATAGTTTCATATTCAAGATATGAACCAGATTAAAGAGGCACTATAGCAAAAACGATATTCTGCTGTAACGGTTGCTGTTACATTATTATTAGAATAGTTTCAGAAGTGGGACGGTTTTTATAAAGTCCACCAGGTGGAGCCAGAGTTGTTCTGAGATAATTCTGTGTAGTGGGAATACTAACAAAGGTTGAATCTTTATTTAAAGTCTTTAATTGTGCTCTCCTTACCCCACCATGCCTGAAACAGTTGGATGTGTGAACACTTGTGTGTTTTTGGAGGGTCAGTCCATTTCAATTTTGTATAAAGTGGAATTAGAAATGTCAGCCATTTTCATAAATACTACAGTTCCCAGCTTTAACATTTGTAGATCTTATCAGAACAGAGTAAAACATCAGATTCAGCCCTCATTCATAGTTCCCCAGTTAAGGATAGTGTATACTGTGCTATACTATATACAGGATAGTATAATGTATACGTTCGATTTTGGCCTTGGACTTCAAGACCTGGGAATTGTCAGAAGTGTAGGAAGTTGAAGTGGATTTGCTCAGGAGCAGTTTGGAGAATTTAAGTCAGTGGTTGCATACATATGACCCAACTTCAACTGTGCTATTTGCCCCAGGCCATTTCTGTGCTCTTGACTAATCTGTGATCTTTCGGCTTTCAGTTGGAGTCATCTTGTGTCTCCATTCATGAGATCCTGAAGGTGGTGGTGGACTCGCAGACATGGTATAGACTGAGAGAGGCACACGACCGAGCAAAAGCAGAGCACCTCCTTGAGCGGGTCACCTACTGGTCCATCGGAGAAACTGTCTTGCTGTTTGTCATCGGCATCGGTCAAGTCATGTTGCTCAAGAGCTTCTTCAGCGAGAAGAAAGGCTCTGTAGCAGCCACCACTTAGAACCTGTGGTCTCAGAAACTCTTCAGTGTGAATGCAGAAGTGCATCTGGAAACCAGCACACATATATTTGTATTTTCAGCAAACCCTTTGTTAAAGGGGTAATTCAAGGAATTTTACTATTTCTGAGTGCTTACCCATTGTCTGAGAAACTTGTGAATGCCTTCTTCATGTCTTAGTTGTTCTGTTCTTAATAAGCTGTATTGAAAAGAAACACCACTCATACTTTTGTTGAAAACAAGGCTGACACCTTTCAACCTTGCACAGATTATTTATTATATTTTTATTCAAGTACAACATGTAATAGTTTTGGTTTGGTCCATCTGTTGCCTTACAGTAGGACCGTCAAGGATTTTCATCTTGATACCCAGCAATTACCGTGAAGGGTGTGGCACACTAATAGAGACCAAAGATGTGTTGTTTGTTTCTGAATGTTAGTTTTATTTGTTTTATAGTGTGTATTTTGTTTATTATTACCTTAATTTATGTGCATAAAATTGTTGTTGTCGTTGTTACGTGTCCCTCATGTCGTACTCTGTCTCAAACAAAGTGCCTTAATTGTTTCCTACCAAGTTAAAAGTTTACTGTTTAAATATATTACCGTGCCATCCTGTTGTTACTGATTGAATGAATTCTAAGTTTCCATAAGTTTTACATTAATAGATATTGGAAAGTGACCAACTGTTACAGCTGTTTGTTTTTTTTGATTCAAAAGTTATGTTTTCAGCCCTCATTGGTTTATTGGTCTGTTATCTGTCAGCAGATTTCAATAAAAATTGGTGGAAAGTCATACGTTTTGAACTGTGTGAAGAATTTCTTTACATTGCCAGATTATAATTTGCATTTTGAGCATTTTTGTCTGAAAATTTCCTGGCAATGTGTGTATTGTGATGCCAGTTCAGATCTAGACTCACATAACAATCTATTTTTAATTTTCAAAAATTTAAATACAAAAACATGTTTTATTATTAAAAGAAAACTCATTTCATATAAAGATCAAACTGTAGAGGGAAGAATGACATAGAAAGGGGGTGCATGTCAAATGGAAAGGTATTGTGTGCGAATCCAATTCTATATTTAATACAGGTATGCAGATTCAGAAAAGGCTAAAAGTATCTGGAAAAAAGCTCCCAAATGTGTATCTTTCGGTTTTTCGAGAGTCAGTTTTAAACAAAAATCTAAATTTAAATCAGTCAAAAGTTCAGGCGCTATAATCCAGTGTACTCTCTGCTTTTAGTTTATCAGTTTGTTTGTTTTTTTTTTCTGAAAGAGAGGACCCCTCCACTCAAACATGTTTTCTTTTTTCTTAATGTTAATTCACTTGGCTGTTTGACCTTCACTGTGCACAATGATGTATGTTAAGAGTTTGATGCTATAAGTCTCTTCACGTTCATTTGCTGAAGGGAGAAAATTTCTCTGTGATTCCCCCCAAAAATCAGGTTAACACATGTAGGTACATACATGATTTGGAAAACAGTCATGGTCCAAAACATGTTTGAAATGAAAATTTGAAGGCTTCACTGCACATACACTGAGAATGGACTTTTCAGTGAAGTATAGGAGATATCTGCATGTAGTCGCAGACAGGAGGGTGTTGTTAAAACTCCTCTCCGTCGTGAATGTCACCAAACGGCTACACGATGTTGTGGTCAGCGAGAGGAGCATGTTCAACCAGAGCCTCCGAATGACTAAGTGTTCCAGTGAACACCACAGGAGGCCCAAACTTCCTGTGGTTACAGACTTTTAGCAGGGGACCTTTAACATGCAGAGGAATGTTAACAAACTATATCTGAGAATATTTTTTGTCTTTTGATATGAATGTTACTCCACCAGTGTATTTACAAACACTGCAGTGTGGAAACAGTGGGCTGGGCCGCCTGCTGTGTGAGGGACAGGAAAAAGCAATGAGGAAGAAGGGTTGCACTGAATTTGAGCTCACCGTAGGCCCGTGGGCAGCTAGACGAGCAGGCTTCATTCCGATTGGTTTGCGGTCGGCTTTACTGGCCAATCAGAGTTAAGCCTGTTGGACTTCGAAGCTGACGTGGATGGAAATTCAATAGCACCTAGGTGCAGCGTCATCACTTCACCGGGCGCTACCGGCCTTAGGTCCATTCATAAGAGGATACAGTCACAGTGGCCGAGTCCCTGACCGTAATCAATATCTTGTAAACATGGCAGGTTACCTAAAGGCTCTGGCGACCGTGTCGAGAAGTGCAGCTGCAGCGCTGTCGCAAAACCCCGCAGTGCTCTCACCGGCCGCCGTCTGCCACCACAGACTGCAGCAGAGGAACTGTAAGTCATCCGTCGACTAAAACCTCAACTGCATGAGTCAAAATGTACCGCGGGGAGCATTTTACAGCGAGGTTCACAACATTAAAGTGGGCACCGGCTTTTTCAATGTACAGTTTGGACTGAGTGAGTGGGCGAGTTAGTGCTCATTCATGTGTAGCCTATGTGACAGCGGAACAGGCTGGAAGTTCCTGGAAATAGTAACAGAAAGATCATAATAGATAAAAGATCGTAATTGTAAAAAAAAAATAATAATAAAAAGTTAAAAAAAATAAAATAAAATGTGTAAAACTAAAGAACAAGCAGCTGTATAAATCTGACAGGTGAAAGTGAAACCATTGATGTAGTTTATGTAGCCTACATTAGATATGAATAACTTATTGTATGTTGTACAAACACAAAGTAATCTTGTGAAGCCTATAACAGCAGCTGGTGCCAGCCTGTCTTGGCATCTAAGTCCACGTGTTGTTTAGTACAAAAAGGGCTTGATAGGTAAGTGCTGTCACAGCTGTCATATAATCCCAAGGTCAGAAAGTGAACTCTGCTTAACTAAGCAGTGGAAGAGATACAGACAAAAGACAAAATGCAACATTGTGTGTCAACACCTTGCTCTTTTGTTAAAGGTTGTTATTTTACAGATATTCTTGAGTTGTTGATGAGAGGGATGAGAGTTAAATACTCTTGGCCAAATTGCATGGACAGTCACACATCAGTCTGAATGAATTCAAGAACCAGGAACTATAAGACAAGGCAGTGAATTCAGTCCAAAGCAAGGAAAACATGCAAATGATCACTGAAAATTGGCCTCAAGCTAAATGAATTTTAAGTAGATAAGCTGTACAGCAGCAGCCTCAACTGTGAAAAAATCTTTTTGTTTCCCCCAAACATTTTCAGTACCATAATCCCTGTGCCACTGTAAACACTGTGATGTATGAAAGTTTATGTAACTGTAAATTTTTCAGATGCAACAAAGCGTATCAAGGTGGACCAGCCAGTGGTGGAGATGGACGGAGATGAGATGACTCGCATCATATGGGAGTTCATCAAAGAGAAGGTAGATCATACAGGCCATCACTGACATGAACTGCCCAAAGCAGCGTTTTCGGAGGATGCGTCTTAGATCCAGAGTTAATATTGGTTACAGCTGAAACAGTTAGTCCATTAATTCATAAACTGAAAACTAATCAGCAGCAATTACAATAATCGATTGATTATGAATGTAAAACTTCGCTTTGTAAGGAATTTTGATTCTCATGAGGAAATTGCAGAACAGAATATATTCTTCCTACCTGCGATGGTGTGGTGTAGGAGCATTACATGTGTGGGTGTGTTTTTGATGTTGCCATGCAGCATTATCCATAGAAAAATAACACAACAGCATCTTGTGCCTCCACAGCTCATCCTGTCCAACGTGGATGTTGAGCTGAAGTACTTTGACCTGGGTCTGCCCTACCGAGACCAGACTGATGACCAGGTCACCATTGACTCTGCTCTGGCAACTCAGAAATACAATGTGGCTGTGAAGTGTGCCACCATCACCCCTGATGAGGCCAGGGTTGAGGGTGAGTTTGACTCATTCTTAATTATATACTTCATTTTCAACTAGAAGCGGTGTTGGTAAGTATGAAAGTGAACCTATAAATAATAATAACACATGTACATCTGCAATGGGCAAAATCGTATCTATATTTTTTCAGAGTTTAAGCTAAAGAAGATGTGGAAGAGTCCTAATGGAACCATCAGGAACATCTTGGGTGGCACAGTTTTCCGTGAGCCAATCCTTTGTAAAAACATTCCCCGTCTTGTTCCCGGATGGACACAACCCATAACAATCGGCAGACATGCTTTTGGCGATCAGGTAAAAAAAAAAACCTGCAAACATGTGTTTGCTGTGTCTGTCAAAGGATCAATCTCACATGCAGGGTTTGATTTTTAATTTCACAGTACAGAGCCACAGACTTTGTTGTTGACCAGCCTGGCAAGTTCAGGATGGTGTTTTCCCCAGCTGATGGAAGCAAGCAGAAGGAGTGGGAGGTGTATGACTTCCCTGCTGGGGGCTGTGGGATGGGAATGTACAACACTGATGAGGTAAGATTGAGTTTGTTTATAGATTTATTTACCTGAGATAATACAAACATTTACTGCAATATTTATAGACAATTAAAGATAATTCGCTAAAAACAGATGTATGGGGGGTTTTCCGGTTTTTGATCGAATGAATGTTCTCTGAAGTGATTTCTTTCTGGACCTTCCTTCATATTTTCTTTGCGCAGTCCATCAGTGGATTTGCCCACAGCTGCTTCCAGTATGCCATCCAGAAGAAGTGGCCTCTATACATGAGTACCAAAAACACCATCCTCAAGGCGTACGACGGGCGCTTCAAAGACATCTTCCAGGACATCTTTGAGAAGTAAGATGCTCAACAAACAAGCATTTACACTTTATTGCTTTATCACGTGGCCTAAGGACACCTGTCTTCAGTAGACTTGTCACAGTTTTGTGTGGCAAAGCCAGACAAACAAACAGCGTACTGTCTCTAGTTGTGGTACACGGGGCCATTTAACAACCACCATGTCACTGAATTTAACTGCCCCAATAAAGTGTTTTATTATTCTGTCTCCTTCAGGAAGTACAAGCCAGAGTTTGACAAGCTGAAGATCTGGTATGAGCACCGTCTCATTGACGACATGGTGGCCCAGGTTCTGAAGTCCTCTGGAGGATTTGTTTGGGCCTGCAAGAATTACGATGGAGATGTGCAGTCAGACATCCTGGCTCAAGGCAAGTGCACTTTAACTTGATGATGGGTATGTCGTTGTGGAGTCGCTCTACTGGCTGAGTGAATGTCAAGTTATTTATATCTGATCTACTTCTCTTGCTTTGTGTATTTGGTCTTATTTTGATATGACATGTTTGTCTTGTGTGTTATACCAGGCTTTGGTTCTCTGGGTCTCATGACATCAGTGCTGGTGTGTCCTGATGGCAAGACTATTGAGGCTGAGGCTGCACACGGCACCGTCACCAGGCACTACCGTGAACACCAGAGGGTAAGAGTCACCAGGGGACACTGCCTGGAGTGTTTTTATTTTAGGAGCAAAGAATACTGTGTGTGTGCACTTCTACCTTTGTACTTCTACCTTCTACCTAATTGGATTTTTAGACCTTGTGAGTGAGGAAATGTTTGCAAAGTGATGCATGTTTTTGGCCGGAGCCAGTTTTCCAGTTGAGTCATTCAGGGCTAGAACGTGGCATTATGTTTGTGTTGGTGTTAGAATTAGTCTGAAGACCAGGGCTTTAGATGAAGTTCTGACAGTTGGGGATTAGGAGCTGTTAACATACATGTGCCAAATACTAGCTGGAGTTGGAAAAAAGTTTTTTTTTTAATTGTTACTGCCTCATCTATATTTAATCACAAATGTAATTAAATAATTACGCCAGTCTGAGTTACTGCAGTCACTCAAAAAACAGGCAGGATGGAGTTTTTAATTATATATTTTCTTTGTTTCATGTTTCCTAGCTATCCTTACCACTGGAGGGTAAACTCCACCAGATATAATCTCTCAATGAATAAAACTATGTTAATATTTTGACAGTGACCATTCCTCAGAACCAAATTATTCAGAAATTGCAGTTTACAAGTCTTTCAGTGTAGAAACTCTTGTACTTGACATGATAACGTGATTTTGTGATATTTTCAGTAGCGCCACGATTAAGTTTGAAAGCAGATCCTTTTTCCCCAGTGTTTCACGTCATCAACAGTTAATGTCAGGTTACGCTGCAAGTCCCTTAGACTCACCTTTTTACATCTATTTCCCACATGAAAATCAATTCCCTAAGTCCATGGCAGAAGAGGCAGAGATACAAATGTTGCCATCCACTGTGGCATCTATAGACCTGAATGCAAAGCAGCCACAACACATGTTGAATTTTCAGTAAGTGACGATAACAGTGTCCTTGCTTTATAGGGAAAACCAACCAGTACCAACCCCATTGCCAGTATCTTCGCTTGGACCAGAGGACTGGAGCACAGAGGCAAACTGGATGGAAATCCTGATTTGATAAAGTATGTTGTCAGGTCATTTAATATGACAAACTGTATATTTGTATAATATTACAGCTCGCTGATTTGTTGCTCTGCATTGTCGCTCTCCAGGTTCTCCCAGACGTTAGAAAAAATCTGTGTGGAAACTGTTGAAAATGGTGTAATGACCAAGGACCTTGCAGGCTGCATCCATGGCTTGGCCAAGTGAGTTTACATATTCACATCCCTCACTCATGCTAAGTGTGTGTTGTATGTGTTTAATTGAGTTTTTAAGAAACTGTGTATGATGTTCTTTTAATACATTTATATTTATCACAAATATAACCCCCTGCTCTGTGGTCTTGCAGCTGCAAGCTGAATGAACATTATGTCAACACCTCAGACTTCCTTGATGCTATCAAGACCAACCTGGACAAAGCTCTGGGCAAATAAAGAACAATCAGAAGACGCACTTGCCAATGAATAGAGAAGAACTGTGCCTGTGGATTTTTAGCCCATTTGTACCTGTCGTTTGTATGAACCTTTGTATCCAATTTTGAAGAAAAAATTTCGTGCCTTTTTTTGTATTTGTATAGTTCACACAGACATCACTGCTCGTCTGCCTTTCCTATTGCCAACAGACCATTTTTGTATTGCACAAATTGAATGATTGTACTGTATGAATTAATATTAATACCAATGTTAACTTATAATGGTCATTCCAGTCTTTTCACATTTAATTAGAAGGCATCTTCAGTGAACAGTGTGTACAAATTAGGACAATAATGCCATGTTTTGCACTAACAACATGAATACAAAAAGAAATAGTGATTGCTCATCACTCAGTAACAAACAGTTGTCATTTTGTCTTTATCTTATCTGAACATTGGGGAAGAAAACACTTATCAGCACAGACGTTACAAAATAACTTTGGGTGTGGTTAGATTAATTTAAAACCTCCTGCACTGTGATACACACCGATTTCATTAGTAAGGCAGATGGTGGCATTTCTATTTATCAAAATCTGGCAACAGGAATGTATTTACTAAGTGTGTGAGATGTCAGAATAGCACTGTGAAATATTTGTCTGATCAGTGTTGAGTGTGGGAGTAGTTACCACTTTGCCTTCTGGAGGAGCTTCAAGAGTGATTCAATGAGACATTGTTTCAGGGCTGGAAAGAGTTAAATCCACAACTCCTCCAGACTGTAGAGGTTACCTCACAGAGGCTTCAGCCAAATGGCAAACCCGGATGAATTCAGGAATACTAATAGTAAAAAGCTGTCCACATGCAGTTCCATTTTAATATCATGCATCTGCTTAAATGAGCCTCTGTCCAGCAGTGCATGAATGCAGCGCTGAATGCTCAGTTAGTTGGCGTCCTTGGTGCCCTCCTGTGCATGGCAGGGAGTGGTTTGCACCAGCAGGGGGCCACACCTGATTGAAGATTTGGCAGTTGCTGTGGAGGCAACTACAGTGGATCACCAGCAGATGTCGACATATTCACTGTCCGACAACTATGTATGCTGATACTTCACTGTACCATGTTACAAGATACACTGGTTCATCATTATGTTATCCTATAAAACAACTTATAAGTAAGTAAAGTAGACTAAACAAAGCTGTCTTTATACGTTATTGGTTTATATGTGAAGAGGACCTCATCAGGACTAATGAATGATCTAACTGAAGGCAGCCTGAGTGAGTATGAAGACATACAAACACTGACAGGACAATAGTTCATTTGATATTGTGTTATTGATGCTCTTCATTTTCAGTCTAAAGCACTTGGTGCTCAAAAGTCTTGACAGACATTCACTTTATAGCCAGGGAATATACTAGGCCCTCTCTCTCTCCGCAGTCATTAAAAAAGTAAATTATGAACAAGGTGCCTCTATCAAAAGTAAATAAATAAATAAATAAAATACTAATTAGCATTCAAAATGCCATTTTACCCCTTTTTTTTAACATTTCCTCCTGGAGGAACATTTTCCTGCAACTGCCAAGTGCTAAAGAAGCTCCCACTTAATATGATCTACAGAAGAATAATATCTCCGAGCAATTTGATCAATCATGTCCCAGGAAATCATTTCTGTGCACAATGCCAAGCATCTGCAAAACACTGTCGGACCAATCCACGAGTGCACACTTTACAGGAGGAGGGTTTGTCCTGGTGTTGTCTGAGGCTTCAGAAAGACCAAAAAGTCACAATTTATTTCCCACAAAAGGAAATGTGTCCTCAGAGAAGACATTAACCTCCAACCAGCTGACTGCATAAAATAAATCAAAGAGAACATGCTGAAGGAGAAGTGATGATATTACAAATGAAGAATGAAGGAAGCTGCCCCCTTTACACTACATTACTGTGCACACAGAGCAGTAAAAAAGTCAGACTACATATCTGACTTATTTACTGCTCCATGTGCACATACATCCTATATCAGATTTAACAGAAGACCCTCCTCCCTTTGGTCTTTAATAAATGTCCTAAGAGTTTTTCTCTTTATATTTGCATTTTTTCATTATTCCCTCATGGAAATCATTGGACCTCCTGCACGCAAATCTGTATTGAAGGTTCCCAAGAGCACAGTGGCCTCCATAATGGAAGACGTATGGAACCACCTGTATAAACTGAGCAATCAGGGGAGAAGGGCCTCGGTAAGAGAGATGACCAGGAACCTGATGGTCACTCTAGCTTAGCTCCAGAGATGCTGTGTGTAGATGGGAGAAACTTTCAGAAGGCCAACCATCACTGCAGCACTCAACTGATCTGGGCTTTACAGTAAAGTGGCCACAAAGATTGTTTAAAAAAAAAAAAAAAAAAAAAATTTGGCATCAATCTTGAAAGCGTCATGTCTTGAGGAAACCAAGCATCGCTCATCACCTGCCCAAAACCACCCCAACGGAGAAGCATGTTGTGGGAGTGTTTTTCAGCGGCAGGGACAGAGAGACTGGTCAGGGTTGATGAAAAGCTGAAGACAGAGATATCCTTAATGAAAACCTGATCCAGAGAGCTCAAGTTCTCAGACTGCACTGAAGGTTCACCTTCCAAAAGGACAAAGACCCTGAGCACACAGCCAAGACAATGCAGGAGTGGCTTACGGACAGCTCTGTCAATGCCTTTGAGTAGCCCAGCCAGAGCCGTGACGTGAACCCAATTGAATATCTCAGGCGAGACCTGAAGATGGCCGTCCACCGACGGTCCCCATCCAACCTGTCATTAGCCAAGGGGTTCATATACTTTTTCCAACCTACACTGTTGTGATTCCGGTGTGTGGGTGCTCCTTGTATGTTAATGCTCTTGCATCATAAACCAAAGTGTTGAACAAATTGAAATTTTGAGCTGATGGCGGTATATGAAAGATTTTGGGATCGCCAAAGTGATTACATTTCATCCTGAGGGAAACATGAATGTCTGTTTCGAATGTCATGGCACTCCATCCAGTAGTTTCCAAGATTTTTTTTTTGTTGCAAATTTATTAAAAATAAATGAAAAACTGAAAGGTCTCATTGGTATAAAGTAGACAGACCCTTAATTCAGTAAATTTCAGTGATTCATAGAAGCCAGTTACCATTCTGTATTTGGCTTCATTCATCCTCCCCTCAATTCTGACCAGTCTCCCGATCCCTGCTGCTGAGAAGCCCCCCCCCTCTCCTTGACAGTGTTTGGAGTTCTGCCCAAAGGGTTAAATTTTTGGCTCATCAGACCAGAGAATCTTTTTCCTCATGCTCTCAGAGCCCTTTAAATGCCACTTGGCAAACTCCAATCACGCTGTCATATGCCTCTTACTTAATGTGGCTTCCGTCTAGCCACTCTACCATAAAGGCCTGATATATTGAGTGCTGCTGAGATGTTGTCCTTCCTTCTGAAACTCTTTTAGACTGACCGTTGGATCCTTGGTCACTTGCCTGACTATGGCCCTTCTTGCCTGGTTGCTCAGTTCGGCCGGGCGGATGCCACAGCGAAGGGTCTGAATACTCTGTAAATAGAGATTTCAGTTTTTGATTTTTAATAAATTAGAAAAATCTAAAAACATGTTTTCACTTCCTCATGATGGGTTACTGAGTGTAGATTGATGGGCGAAGATGGCAACTTTGTCCATTAAAAATTGCGAAGGGGTCTGAATACTTTCAGAGGCCACTGTAGCTGGGAAGCAGCAGGAACACCCCACCCACCTCCTCCCCCCAAAACACAGTGAAAGATTACGACTCCAGTCTCCATCATTTAAACTAGAGAACCTTTATTAAATAATTCATGGTCAATTTCCATGAGGTCTCAGTTTGATATTCCTCATCTGAAAAAAAGAACTAGTAGACCATTCCTCTGGTTTAGTGTGCATATCAAGGCTGACCTGCATGGCAGGACAGGGGGAGCTGACTGTCTTCCCCAAAACAGAATTATGAATAGCAGGACTAGTCTCAGTCCACTTTCAATTCAACCATTACAAAATGTAACCAGGAGCGCCAAATAATTTCTTTCTTTTTTTTTTAATCCGCATGTTGGATTTAATATCCATTCAGTATTTTTTTCCTAGTTCTGCTTATTTGACGTGGGGTTGTGTGAGGTACTTATTCAGACTATGTACTTAGTCGTACACAGACAGTGTATTACCTGCAGTAAGGAGCCTATATTGGCTGAAGTGTATGCTTCTTTTGAACATATTCACCGCTTTATCTTGCCGTTAAACAGCCCTTTCCTTTGGAACTACATTTTCTCAACTGCTGAACTACCGCATTAGCGCACCTGTGCGTAGTAATACATTAGTTCAACTGTTGAGAGAATGTAGTTCCAAAGAAAAGGGCTGTTTTATGGCAAGATAAAGCAGTGAATATATTCAAAATAAAGTGTACGCTTTAGCTGATATTGGCTTTTTTTTTTTTCAGTGGGCTTGTTGAAGTGGCTAAAACACGTTTTTACTGCTGACCCCCTGAAGAGCAGTACATCACTCTGTTTCTCTGTCACTACTCGTAACTACTCCTCCAAACCGGAAGCACATCGATCTAATCTATTGCAGACAGTACACTGACTATAGATAAGTATCTGACAGAAGCTCACGTCAAATAACCTGAACTATCACTGGAAGAGGGAACATATCTTTCTGAATTAATTGAATTGAAAGTAAAGTGCAAACAGCCCTGGATTTAAGAGTGCTGAAACTACAAACAACAAAAAACCCAAACTGCTGATTCTCCATACAAACTGCTCATTCCTCAATTCGCATTTGAACTGACAACTGTGGAATACCCATATCAAGGAAACTGCACTTTACAAAAACCTACTGAGAAAGCATATCTGTTTGTTTTTAATAATATTGCCGTTATGGGGTTTAGAAGATTCTACGATCTTATTTCCCCAAGCTCTTCTCCTTGAGGCAAATGAGTTCACTCTCACTGAAGATGGGCTTCACAGAAAAATGACGGGTCTCAATGAAAAAGTGCTTTGTATTGTTCACTCAGTAATTCAAAAACTAGAGCTGTATATTCACTACACGGGATTGATTATTAATGTAAAGCTAAACCATGTGAAACAAAAACGGGGTAAACACACTGCATGTTGCAGAATCATTTGTACAGTGAGAGGGCTTGACATGCCGGCAACGTGGTTTTCTGGCATCAGCCGAAATTGGACAGTAGCAACTTTGGTAGTAAGTGCCCTGGTAAGAAAAAGACTACAATGACCTGTGCAAAAAGCACAAACGCACTGAAAGACCGGCCTGTTTAAATTTTAAACTGAGGGCTGGGCAGGAACAGGTAACAACAATTAGGAACTGTTTAGTAAGAGCATTCAAACCTATGAGTATGTTGTGACTATGTATCAAAAGTTCGATATACAGTGAGTAAATAGCTGACACGGTGGAAGCTTAGTTGCAAATGTATCTAGCTGGCACTTTCAGTCAAAAATATAAGGGCATACATTGGTTGTGAATGACAAAAATGGCAAATGGTAAACAGTTTTCTATCACATCAAATGTAACTGATGGCTCTGCAACTGCAACGTTTTTTCTTTTTTTTTTCTTTTCAAATAACTGATACATACACACAACATACAGATTTCACTGTCCACCAGACAGAGTGTCTTGGAGTTGGTTCGCGTAGTAATCCCCAAAAAGGAGCTCCAGACCATGTCAACAGTTTCAGCGTCTCTGCTATAAGCAAGAGAGCTGAAACGTGTCCTTTGAAGTGTGTCTCCTTCCTGGCCTCCCATCAGAGTCCGGCAGTTCTGGCTCTTCTGGAAGGAGGCCATAACTAAAAGAAAACCCTTCCCCCAAAGTCTCCCAAAGCCTTGACAACAAATCTGTGATTTCCTTCTGCTTTGGAATAAAAAAAAACAAAAACCCAAATCATGTTTGCTGGTCCATCATCACTCAAGGTGTAGTGTAGCTGCTTGTATCCTTGCCAAAGTTGTAATACTCCTCCATGTCCTCCATGTTTGCTGTAGTGAGTTTAGTGAGGTTTTGGGAGCCACCGTTGTCCATATTGTCTG